TTAAGACAGGGCCTCACTATGTAGTTGAGACTGACCTGGAACTCACTATGTAGCCCAGGCTGGTCTCGAATTCACTGCAATCCTCCTGCCTCAGCTTCCCGAGTGCTGGGATTACAGGCGTGCGCCACCATGCCTGGCCACATTAGTAACTTATAAAAATTTTTTTTTTTTTGTACCAGGGGTGAACTCAGACCCTTGCGCTTGTGAGGCAGGCAACAGAACCACTGAATCAAATCCCCAGCTAGTTACTTATAAACTTGTAATGATTCTCCAAAATAAAACTATAAAGAATGTAAGTTAACTTCCGATTGCTAAAGTTTAAAATTCAAGGGGAAAAAACTGTGTTCAGATGAGTAATATGGAGAGGGTAGCATCGGAAAACATAGCTACTTACTCCACAAGTCAAAAAAGGCTGCAAAACATTTATTTTATTTTATTTATTTATTTTTGGTACCAGGGATCAAACTCAGGTCCTTGCGCTTGCCAGGCAGGTGCTGAACCAAGCTAAATCCCTGGCCCACTGCAAAACATTTTAATGCAAATAACATTTATTATGATCATTGTCAGTGACTAACCAATCTCAAATTCTTAATACTTTAAGAAACCAATAACTTTTCTTTCTTTTTTTTAGTGCTGGAGACTGAACCGAGCACTTCATGCCTGTGCTCTATGATGGAGCTACACTATATCCTTAGCTCAACACTGATAATTTTTAACTTAGTACCATGGATGTCATCTAAATCTTTCATATATGAAAAATATACTTTTTTCTTAAAGACCTGGGTAAAACAGAACACTGAATTGTGCATTGTATCTCAATGAAGCTATTTTAAAAAGATAAAAGAGGAAGCAAAGAAAGAAAAGGAAGGGAAGGAATAGGAGAGGAGGGGAAAAAGAGCCTTGTGGAGTACATAAAACTCACTTCCAGTTTTGTTAAATCAGATACTAAAACCTATCAAGAAATACAAGCAGGGGCCAGGGATTTAGCTCAGTGGTGCCTCGGCCTCCCTCACAAGAGCAAGGTCCCAAGTTCAATCCCTGGTACCAAAAACAAAAACAAAAACATGCATACACTATTCGGCAATATAATGATGATACATTAGATATTATTTAAGATTTTTCATTCTTAAAAATGGAATTTCTACAGGTGTGGTGGTACACCCCTGTAATTCCAGCACTCTGGGAAGCTGAGGGAGGAGGACTGCAAGTTACAGCCCATCCTAAGCAAGCAAGTGACTAAATGAGACCCTATCTCTAAAAAAATTTTAAAGGGCTCAGGACATACCTCAGTGCAAAGGCCCTGGGTTCAATCCCTAGTACCCTCCAAAATAAAAACCCAAACAAAACCAATTCTCTACAATGGGACTTACTGTACAATAAATTAAAGAGAAAAAGGTGATTTATATAGCAATGGAGTAATCTCTAAAATATTTTATGTTAAAAAAAAGAATACTATGTTGGCTTCTGTATTAAAGGGGAAGAAGTATGTGTATGTATGTCTGTACAGACTGACACAGAGATACACACACATACACAGCTTTGGTGGCCTATGTATAAATTAGATTTGGAAGGATATACAAGGAACAGTTAATATCAGGGTTATCTGTGGGATAATAGGATATTGAGAGGACAGTAAAAGGGAAGACCTTTTTCACATTCTGACTTTCGAGCAATGTGAATATATACTCATTAAGAGGAAAAATTAAAAGTACTTTACCTTGCACCATTGTTCCTAATGACTTCCACAGTTTCTTCAACAAAATATCGATCCTTGACATATGCAAAGATATCATCACAAATTTCATGTAAGCGTGAACGATGGGTAAGGTTCATCAAGTATAAAACTGGAACAATTAGTGGTTCTGGAAAACTCTGAAGATTCTGTCTTGCTTTTTTTTCTGACTCAAGTGCTTCCTGATATGTCAGCCCGGGTCTACCCGTCACAGCACAACTCCACACAAGGCTGTTGCACAGAATGGTTCGCTCAAAAAAGTCACTGATTAAAAAACAAAAACAAAAACCAATTATCTATCATTTCACAAATTGCACATTAAAATTTGATATAGTTATTAGCTTTTTTCTATGCCTTTAAGGCAAAATTTTTCATAGCATCATAGAACTCAAAGGTATGAAGTGATCATCAGCTGATTAATAAAAACCAAAGACAAAATATATCTAAATTAGGCATTATATTCTGCAACTTAAAGGCGCAGCAGCCAAAACTGGATTTTAAGTTCTACTAGTTTTGAAATCTGGAGTCAAACCGAAAATAAATTCAGCCTTTTTCCTTTAAAATTTTAACCTTTTTGTTGAAAAGCAACCAAAACAGTAGAATCAATGCAAACACTCAATAAATTTTTAAAAGGCTTCATAATGAGAAACACAAATCTAAGCATCTAACACTAAGAGAAAGGTTAAGTATAGTGCTTCATATAATGAAAAATAAGCCATTAAAAAGTTTAAGAGTTATCATGTTAATAAGAAAAAAAATAAAGAAACCCAGCTCTATCTCCAGTTTGAGCCTTCCAATATTTTAAAAGCTATATAATGACCTTATTTATGTTTAAAAAAGAAAATAAGAATAAAGAACAAAAAGGAAGAAAGTGCCTTAATTTTAATGCACCTATGGAAACATCTAAATTTTTTAAACGTTACACAAAAATCAAAATAACTGCCAGGGAGTAGGGATAAGACTGGGAGACCATTCAACTCAGACCTTTACTGTATAGTTGGAATTTCTTCATGTATTTTAAAAAACTTAATCTAGTCTCTTTTTTTTCTCTCATTGAGTTTATTGGTTTATTTTAGGTATACAGTGTAGTTACATTCATCATTGGAATCTTGTACCTTTACATGACAGGTCTTGGTTCTCATTTTTTCCCTTTGTCCCTGCCCTCCTTTCCCTATTTATACTTTATTTCCATTTTTTTCATTTTCTCATTTTTTTTCCTTTTCCCCTTCCCACTTCCCCTACACCTTTATCCCCTTTCTTCCTATTTCACATTGTCAGTTATATCATTAGGATCTTATGTACCATTATAGTTTTTCACACCAGAGAAACTATTAATCTAGTCTCTTTTAAAAGGCAAGAGACTCAAAAATTTCTAAGGTAGAGTAGAAAAAAGTCAAACTCAGATCACTGAATATACGATCCCACATACATTAATTAAAACCACAAAAACATACGTGTGTGTGTACATATGTACGTGTGTATAGAAAACAGATGTTCTCTACGGCAAAAGGAAGGGAGTGGGAAGGAAAGTAAAGGGAAACTTTTTGTGGTTCTAAGTATTTCTATATTGTTCCTATGCAAAAAAGTTAATAATGGCTACCTCTGAGAGGTTAAGGCATGTAAAATCTACACAGTAAAAGTACCCTTTGATCTACTTTTCAATAATTATATATAACGTATAATTAAGTCATTTTAAAAAAGTTTTTCTCCTTCCTGAAATCCCCTTCTTTCCTTTTCCCACCATTCTAAAAGTATTTTCATTGCTGTATGTTGTTACCTGGTTAATATATCTGTCCATTTGAATTATCCCAAGATTTGGGGAGCATTCACTATGATTTTTTTCATTTGTGTATTGTATATGTATCTATAAAGCAACAACAACAACAAAATCTATGGAAATAAAGTTTGAAAGAAACTATACCAAAAATGGGATCCAAAGAACTAATATACATATGGCAAATTATATGACTAATTCAGTACACAGAAAAAAGATCCTTTTGAAGTATTCATATAGGAAATAATAGCTTACTGTATATCATTAAAAATACAAAGTAAAGCTGGGCATGGTGGTGCACACCTGTAATCCCAGCACTCGGGAGGCTGAGGCAGGAGGATCGCTGTGAGTTCGAGACCAGCCTGGGCTACGTAGTGAGTTCCAGGTCAGTCTCAACTACATAGTGAGACCCTGTCTCAAAAAAAAAACAAACAAACAAAATAAGAAAAACATACAAAGTAAGACTAGGCAGATATGCTAAAAAGAAAAAAAAAAGCAAAGGGAGAGAAGGAAAAAATAATCAGGAAATACTAGGCCATTTTTTGAGACAGTAGTATTAAGAGATATGTCTTTAAAAAAAAAAAACTGAGATGAATAAAATGCCAGAGAAAAAAAAAGATTAACATAATCTGGCTCTTAGAGTCTATGTCAGAATAAATAATTTATCAGCCAAGAGATAGACAACAGACATACCAATGTTGCAATAAAATAATCAATGGATCTTCAAAGACACCTTAAATAAAATTTAAGTAAATATGAAGTAATTTTTTCCTGTCTAAAATTGAAGACCCACTTAGAAATCACAAAAAGTTCTTTTTTTCTTATAGAAGCAAATATACCTTATAGAAACAAATTTAGGTTTCTGAACCAACACATAATTAACACATAATATATGATATATACTTCTAATAATTTAAACTGTATCTAGACTTCAAATGTAAATATCTCATACATTAGTCTGTGGACCATTGCTAATAGAAATAGAATTCTAGCCAAAAATAATTTTAAATTTTCTTTTTAAATTGTTTGGTATTGGGATCAGTTTTAAATGTTCTAGTGATCACATTAAGAATTTTAAAAAATAAATACAGTACTAATAAAATTAATCTTGAATATATTTTAACTCATTGTTTTATCTCAGCTGGGCCTGGTAGCACAGGCCTATCACCCCAACAATCTGGGAGGCTGAGGCAGAAGGATCACAAGTTTGAGGCCCAGACTGGGCAATCTGGTGACTTAGTGAGACCTTATCTCCAAATGAAAAATAAAAAAGGCCTGGGTGTGAAGGCCATGGGTTCAATCCCAGTACTGAAGGTGGGTGGGAAATTCATTCAATATGCGATCAACATTTAAAAAATCATTTACTTTTTAAATACAGAATCTTCAAAATCCAGTGCATAACCTCACATTTACTACCCACCTTACCTTGGACTCAGTAAATGCCAAGTGTTTAACAGCTACATGGACAGGTAATAGCTTCTCTATTAAACAGCATAGTTCAGCCACAGCAGCTAGGTGCCTGGGATATTTAGAAGGCTATAAAGTATCTGATGCCATGGCAGGGTGGATAGTTAAGTATTAGGTGGGTTGTAATAGACACTGCCAAGATTTAACATTGTTCAAAATATCAAGTCAAGCAATGGCACAAATACCACATGACATCATTAAACCTGTTTCCAGGTAGAAAAATAGGGTAGTCAGCAACCAGTGATGTTTACTCCCATAAGGATTCCACTACCTCTTGCGAAGTGTTTGTGCTGCTCATTCCTCTGTGTCTCTATAATTATATTATAGCCTCACTATACACAAGGACCTACTCTCAGAAGGAAGGAGGCTGGGCATTCATCCACAACACCATGACCATTTTGTTTTAATAAGGGGAATGTCCAAGGGCTGTTTCGCCCTCACTCATCACTGAGAGTACACCACCACCTCTAACTCTGTATGCCTTCACTTGCTACCACTTCTGTACTTGTGCTCATACTTTACCCATTCATTATACACAGCTAAATATGCAGTTTATTAATAAAACTCAAGCAGAAGGGCTAAGTTATAATGCTTAACTTCTACATAACAAGAAACATGTTCTAGCTAGGTGTGGTGGCACATGCCTGTCATCCCAGCACTAGGGAGGCTAAGGCAGGAGGATCACAGCAAGTTCAAGGTCAGCCTGGACTCCATAGCAAGTTCAAGGCTATTCTGAATATACAGTGCAAAGGGCCGAGGATTTAGCTCAGTGGTTCCACCACCTGCCTCGCAAGTGCGAGGTCCCTAATTTGATCCCCAGTACCAAAAAAAAAAAAAAAAAGAATTACAGTGCAACGCTTTGTCTCAAAAACCAAAGAAAATTTAAAAAATAAAGTACATTTTGCTATTGTGAGCAAAAAAATTATGAAATAAAAATTTTTTTTTTTTGGTACTGGGGATTGAACTCAGGTTCTTGCGCTTGCAAGGCAAGCCACTGAACCACTGAGATAAATCCCCGGCCCTAAAATGCTTTTAAATTTTTATTTATTTATTTTTGTTACGAGGGATCAAACTCAGGACCTTGCACTTGTGAGGCAGGTGGCGGCACCACTGAGCTAAATCCCCGGCCCTATTATTTTATATTAATAACTTTAGACTAAATTGTGTCCAATTTAGGACTTATATTCCTTTCAACAATGATCTTCTAAAATTTTGGGGGGGGTACATGTTTATACGGTATAATGATTACAGTCAACATGAGGAGTTGATAAATGTACATGAATGATATTTTTTAATTCTTTTTTTTAACCTCCTCCTCTCCCACTTCTTGCATCTTTTGGACCCCTTCATTCATATATACACACATATACACACACACTTTAAATAATACTTTAATAAAATACTCTGCATTTTGCATTTTAGTGTTGCCTTAAACTGAGATAACATACAAATATATATGTATATATAGTTTTGTATACATGTTTGTAATACATGATGATCACACTCCTCAATAATAGTCTTTACCAGAGGTGTGTGTACTATCAGCTTGGAAGTCAAATCCAGCCACCCATTGGTCTTTCACAGTTTTACTGGCACACAATTACAACCACACATTTAGGTACTGTCTGCTTTCTCACTACATTTGTAGAGTTTGGTAGGTGCAAAGACTGAATGAATGGTCAGAAAAGCCTAAAACACTGATTATCTGTTCCTTCACAGAAAAAAAAAACATGATGACCTCTCATCATTACCATTATTAGACAAGAAAAAATTGCTCTTAAGTTATAAAATAAAATACTTTTCTAAGAATATTATTTGTAATATAAAGCCAGCCAACTTTCTAGTGAACAAGCTAAAGAACAAAGGGCAACATAATATTAATTTGATGAAGATTAGGAAAACTAAAAACCTGGCAGAAAAAGATTAGGAACTAAGTGATATCAGGGCCAGGGATTAGCTCAGTGATGCCACTGCCTGCCTTGCAAGTACAAGGTCCTGAGTGGGATCCTCAGTACCAAAAAAA